GCCCTGTCTGAGTTCCTGTCCTGACGTCCTTCAGTCATGAACAACAATGCTGAAGTGTAAGCCAAATAAACCCTTTCCTCCCCAACTTGCCTTTTGGTCACGGTGTTTCATCACAGCAGTAGAAACCCTAGCTAGGCACCAGGATACACTTACCTCTCGAACCCAGGCAGGCTGTGCATTGGCTGTCCTGCCTTTGGCCTGTAGGTAGCTGTTATAGGTCTGTACCACCAGTAACATTGACACCAGAACACTGCAGCCCATCGGCCCTGCTCTTAGCCCCTCCCCTGCTTTAGACATTTTTACCATGCTAAGGGCGTCTTATAGCACTGCTGCCCCGTCTCAGCTTGCTTCCTGTCTCCTCCTCTGCCCCACCCCACATCTAGATGAAGAAATCAGGAGGCTGGGTGGGGCAGTGGTTGGATACAAGGCTGTGCTGCTTATCTGCTGGGAGGCCTTGATCATGGGGCTTCGCAGCGCTACAGGCTCAGTTGTCTTTCTTTCAGATAAAGATACAACAGTGTCTGCACCGCTGGGTGGACAAGAAATTTGTGGTAAATACTTGCACAGTACTTATCTGTAGTAAACCTTGTCATCTCAACTCACCCTGCTGACACAAGCCATGTTCTGGCCTAAACGTTTAACATCTTTGCTGCCTTTCCTCACTCACTAACCCTGTGCTCTGTGCTCGCACACCTGCGCTCCTGCCCAGACTCACACTGGCCTAATTTGGCTAGTCCAGCTATACAGGTTTCATCCTTTCTCTGAGCTACGTCCCTGCAATCAGCAGAGTGTAGAGGAGCACTAACATTGTCCATTGACAATGACAGCATTCTCCCAGCAACTCTCCTCTTAATTCCTTTCCTGTCCAATGTCTCCACTCACAGCCACCCGCCCCAGCACTGAACATCCATGGCGATGCAGTGAAATATGAGCCGGGGTAAAGTTCCACAAAGCCTGCAGCCTTTCATACCTTAGGCCAAGTGGTTCACCGGGAAATGGGGATCTGAGGGAGCCCCTGAGCTACACAGGGATAACCAATCGGGAGCTTCATGACAGTGATCTGGATATAAAAGTTCAAGGGGTGAAAAGCTGAGGATGCCCATGACGGAATTTCACAAAGATGATCAAACACGAAGTGCTATGTGTAATGTATAATTTCGAGAGAGACACACCTAAAAAGTGTGTTTTGTGCTAACAATCACCCTGGAGTTGTAAATCCATCTTGTTGAAGTATACTTACTTTAACAAAGCCCTCAGGAAATGAGGCCAAAGGATGCAGGTTCCAGTTAGAAGATTCAGAGAGCTGCTAGTAATAAAATGGACTGTTACTGAAAAAAACCACTAAGGTTTTCTCGTTATGAAAAGTGATAGTTAACTCGGTTTAGCATACTACAATGTACATACTTTCCCCCAAACCATGCACATGATAAATAATGCAGTTTTCTGTATGAGCTAAAAATTAAGCTAAGGGCTGGGGACACAGCTCTGTGGCAGAGCACCTGCCCAGCTCATGCCCTAGGCTCCACCTCCAGCACTGCAAAACAAGATTTCTTTTAAAAGGCAATTAAAACAAATTGTCAGTTCAAAATGAGTTTGAGGCGGGGCTGAAGAAATGGCTCAAGTGAAGAGCACTGGCTGCTCTTCCGGAGGACCCAGGTTCAATTCCTGCCCCCACATGGCAGCTCACAACTGTAACTCCAGTTTCAAGAGATCTGATGCCCTTTTCTGGCTTCTGCAGGCACCAGGCACACACACACGGGGCACTGACATACACACAGGTAAGCATTTATACATATTAAATAATAAAGTAAATAAGTTTAGGAAGCCAGAGAGGTGGCTCAGTGGTTTAGAGCATCGATTCTTCCAGAGGACCTAGGTTTGATTCCCAGAACCCACATGGTGGTCACAACTGTTAACTCCAGTCCCAGGAGATTTGAAGCGCTCTTCTGACTAATGCAGGCATTAGGCATGCTTGTGGCACACAGTCATACATGCAGGCAAAACGCTCATACACATAAAATTAAAAGAAAAAAACATAAAAATTAGTTTAGGATACTTTTTATTGATTTTATATGCCTGAGTGTAAGTGTATGCACCATGTTTGTGCAGTGCCCAAGGAGGCCAGAGGAGGGCACTCCATTCCCCTGGGACTGGAGTGACAGGCAGTTGTGAGCCACCATGTGGGTAAGTAGGAACTGAACTGGGTGGGATCCTCCAGTGCTATTAATTGCCATCTCTCCAGCCCCCTAATTCTTGCTTTTAAATATTTTTATCCTTTGAATATTTTATACATGTATACAATGTGTTTTGATCACATTTCCCTCCTTTTCTCTCAACTCCTCCCAGATCCACCTAATTCTCTATCCCCTTCCCAACTCAGGTAACCCTGCTCTTGGAGAAAAGGGCCTCTCCCTCTCCTACCAGCCATCAACTGTCCACAGCTCTCAGCTAGGCTGGAAGTAATAGTTATAGTTCCAAGATAGAATTAGAAATGTTCTTTTTCATATTTTTTTTACATCTATTTTGTATGTTTCTATGTTTATGTGCAAGTGGGTACTCCTGCCAAGCATGCATGTGTACACAGAGTGTTTAGTTTCTCAGTCCACCATGTAGGTTCTGGGGAACCAAACTCAGGTCCAGACTTAACAACAATATCCTTATCAGCTGAGGCATTTTGCTGGTCCCTGCACCATTTTTTTTCTTGTCTTTCTTTTTTGTTTTTTTTGAAACTCTGCTCTCCCTTTTGGTTGACTCTGAGAAGCTTTGCAGGTCCCAGTTCTATTGGATAAGCCTTCCAATATATTTATTTACCTGATTTTTTCATAAAAGGTGATATATTTTTGAGGACAAATAATGCTAAAGACAACATGCCATTTCATGGAACAGTGAGACAGGGATGTACCTGACCCACTAATGAAGCCTGGACAGAGCTTTGGCCTCCGATGACATGTTAAATGAATCACAGGGTATATCTATGGCTGATGGGTGCAAAGTCCCACGGCTGGGGCCTCGGCCAGGGTCTCCAGAATGGGGGAGGGGTAACAGTGTCAGGGTGAAAGGTTAGTGAGAGCTTCAGCAGACAGAGGCTCTTGCCTTCAGCCCAGGTGGGGTCCCAAGGCATGCTCTGATTGGCCAGTCTACCTGACAGGTACAGAATGGGCAAGGTACTGGGGATGCCCTTCTAACCACCCCTCCATCATTCTGTTGGCATCACAGAGCCCGGTATAGCAGTTTGAGCTGCTGGGATTCACTGCTACCTGCCATGGTCAGAACTGCAACCAAGCTTCAGAAACAGACCAAATGGAGACATCTTCCCAGTCCAGGAAAGGCAAGTGGGGCATCCAACCCCAGCATACAACTAGAAGGGCAACTTCTACTTCTGGCCGTTGGGAAGCGTGCAAATTGGCACCAGTGTTGGCCAGTTTACCAGATCCTGCAGGCTGAGGGGCACTGAAGTTAGGAAGTCCTACTGCTTCACTCCATCCAGCTGACGGAGCTGGGTTAGTAGAGGTGTAGTCCCAGGAGGGCAGGGGTGAGGCAGAGGGTAAGCATATGAGGGTACGCACACACCTAATGCATCGGAGGAAGGAGCCTCCAATGAGCCACTAACACAGTCATATGGAAGTGTGGCTCCCATTTTGAAAATCCCTTTTTTGGAGGGTGGAGGCTGGGAACTGAACCTTACCAATGTTAACAAATGCCCCAAGATTGAGCTACTCTCAGCCCGGTAACCTGGTCTTCTAGGAAGCAAGTGTTACAGGAGGCCAGAGAGCTGGAACTCAAGACTCCTGTACCCAGAGAGCAGCTACAGAAGCAGAAACCCCAGCGCAAGTGCACTGTGAGGTTAACAAGGCCATATGGGCTGGGTGACGGCGGCGGCGCACGCCTTTTAACCTCAGTGCTTCAGAGACGAGGCAGGTGGATCTCTATGAGTTCGAGGACAACCTGGTTAATAGAGTGACTTCCAGGACAGCCAAGGATACACAGAGAAACCCTGTCTCCAAGCTGCCAGATGGATGGATGGTCCCTGGGACATGAGCACAGAGTCCAGGGCATCGGGAACCAATGAAGGAAAGGCATGGGACTAGCCTTTTTCTAGGGAAATGAAGGGCAAGACTTGAAGTGGTAAGGTTCCTGATAGAAAAGCTGGTACCAGAGTTTGACAATAAGGCTTTGTGGCACCGTATTTTAAAAGACTGGGCTGACAGAATGGCACAGCTGGTAAAGGTGCTTGTCTCCAAGCCTGACAACTCAATTTTGATCCCCAGATCCCACATGGTATGGTTGAAAGAGAACTGCTACAGATTTTCCTCTGACCACCATTATGTGTGCCATGGCACACACACCACATGCACAGATGTACATACACATAGGCACATAATGAAGAGAGAAATAAATGTAACCACAGCCCAGAGACTGGAAAGATGACTCTGTGGTTAAGTGTGCTCACTGCTCTTCGGTTCCCGGAAAACAAGTAGGTGCTTCAATGGCTGCCTTTCAATCTGAATCTGCTATGTGCCAGGTACCGAAGTGGTTCTGAGAAAGCCTCTGGCATGCAGCAGCTGCGGCTAGGCCCTGCGAACAGTCTCAGACCCGTGCCCTCTCAGTCAGCAGCCTTACAAAGGCTCCAGCTAACACATGTGCCAGCCTGTCTACAAGAGGAGGAGGCAGAGAGACTCAAGAGGCCAGAGGTAGTGTTAACTACCATAGATGTGCAGCTGGTTCTTAGGGTGCCCAAGTGGGAGACCTCATGAACGAAATGATTTTGAGTGCTTGGGCATGTTGGGAAGTCGCTTTGCCGAGGTCTAGAGTTGAAATGTGTCATTTTCCTTTGCCAAAGGTCAAACTCCCAGCTGCTCCTCAAACCACTTCTCCTATGTGTGTGTGTGGGGTGGTGGTGGGGGTGGTGGTGGTGGTGGTGGTGGTGGTGGTGGGGGTGGTAGTAAAAGGACAAAGAGATTAAAATACAGGGCAAAGAATTAGAACTCATTAGCAGATACCACCGTGCGGACACTCAACTTTATTCACTTTATCTATATATTTAACAATTCTAAAGTATTTACTTCTTGCTTTGACAAAAAAATGAAAAATATAGGAGCACTGACTCCTCTTTAGGAGAAAAGGGTTATATGTACAGCTACGGAGTTACGGTTCCTCCTTTACATACAAAGAAAATATTAATAAAAAAGTGCTTCATTGATCAAAAAGGGCTAAGAGCTGCAAGCATTTATTCACACTGTACAACAGACCCAAGAAACCCGTATCATAACCTCTTGGCACCTGTCACTAGGAACTTCACAATCTTCAGTTATGCCATCCTTCCCCCACCCGCACCTCCAGACCACAGCAAGCATGGAGGAAAACTTCACCCTGTTTCACTAGACGAGGCCTCTGCGTGACTTGCTGCTGGAGGAATGAGCAATGCTCTGATACCCTGGGCTTCGGTTCAGCCAACAGTGCTAGGAAAGGCTTCTGGGCTTCTTGCACCCACTCGGGAACATGCAGAACCACCTTCCTGAGACACAGAACACCCATGGCCAGGTAACAGTTTCCAAAGAAGAGGGGCATGGACACAGGCCAGGCTAGAACTGAGGTGTCCCCCCAACCTCACCCAGCCCTCACACTACAATTGCTCTGTTATCTGTTTGCGGCTTTTAGCAGAGCCAAGCATGGCCCCGGGGGTGGGGAAGGCACAAACATAGATGCCAGCAATTCAAAGCACAAACCAGAACTGCCCTCCACCCTTCCCACACCCACCTCCACCACAGATAATTACTGGTTTAAGGCTCTTTTTGGACCACATCAAAGGTCACTGAGGAAAGGTACCCCAAATCTCCTCATGCTATTTTCTAAGAACCCTAAAGTCACCAAGTGACTCTTCACTGGTAGCAAAAGCCAGACATGTGACCACTCAAGACAGCCAGAAGCAGGACAGAGGACTCCTGGGTCCTTCCTTCTGCCCCCAGAAGTAGCAGAAGAGGAGGGCTGATTGTGTGGAGAGCTTTGTAACTGTGGGACTCTGTCCCTCAAGGGGAAGATGCATGATTGGTCTGCTTTAGGAATGGGGGACTTGTGGAACCCTGAGTCTGGATTTCCCTGTGTTGGCCGAGGAAGAGATTGTTTGTGGGACCAGGCCCCAGAGAGAGCTCACAGGTGCCTAGCTCAGTGCAGGCCTTGACCACATCAGCAGGACACTGCATTCTGGCCAGTCTGCACCTTTAGGTGTTTAGGAAGCCAAAGGAGGCAAAGGGAGCCCTACCCAATCTGGTCCAAGTTAAAGATGGAATCCATGTGGGCCAACATGTCAGCCACCCAGTCCCTCAGTAACTCAAAAGAAGCACATACCTCTCTTTTCTAAGTGAGGCCTGTGGGGTGCCTCTATGTGCCCTTCTTCCCAATGCCATCCTGTTCTTATCTATGAGGTGGGATGGCCCTGTCTCTCTCAGGAACAGCACTCTCCAGAAAGGTCCTTCCAGCCTCCCCAGCAGCAAAGGGTTACCAGTCAGCTCTGACACAGCTGTGATGTGAGGAATGGTCACTAATGGTAGGCTGACTTTCTGTCTTGCTGTCTCATTCTTCATTCTGGCTCCTTCCACTGGGAAGCACTGAGCCATCCCCCAGCATGCCTGACAGCAAACAGCTCAGCAGTTATAGGGCCTGGCAACCTCTGGGCTTCCATTTCAAAAAAAAAAAAAAAAAAAGAAGAAGACAACTGGGGACATTTTTCTTTTTAGAAGGCAAAGAGGGAGTGTGGAAAAGGAAGGGAAGATGAAACAAAAATCAATTTACAATCCAGTGGTACATCCCAATCTCTGTACAGGTTGTTCTGTGCCCCCATTCCAAAGTGTATGGGCCTCTCTGACTGCCCAGGCTCTGGATGAGCCTGTTAAAGAACAGCAGCATGGCCTCTGCCACCCCAGGTCACTGAGCTTCAGTTTGAAGTGGCAGCAATAGGCTTATCCAGTTCAAGGTCAATGCTGGAGCTTGTGGGATGGAGGCTGCTATAGCAAGACTTGCACACTCGACTGGGTTCAAACAGCTGCTGGCTAGGAACTGGAACCTTCTGGTTACAACAACTGGAGCAGAATACGTTCCCACAATTCCTTGAGACAAAAAGAAATAAAACAACATTAGTTTCAGCTGTTAGGTTTTCGTGGGGAAAACCAACTTCAGAAAGCAGCATTTGATGTGTGTGGTCTAGAAACATGTTCATTTCTCCGGGCCAGGAAGAAGCCGCGTAGGAAGACAAGTCTACCTAGTGCAGTCATTTTCACTTCAGGCCAAGGGTGACATGTGGCTGCCTCACCACTCTGGCACAAGGCTGTCAATACACAGGAAGATGCTCAGGAGAGCTCTCTGTGGGTAAATGAGCCCAGCACTGAAGCAGCTGCCAGCTCAGTGCTCAGTCCTGACCTGGGGACAAACCCAGTGGCTGCACTGACCTTGGTACTGCCATCTGGGTAGCTTGAGGTCACAGGGAGGCCAACGTCAAAAGGAGTTGGCTTGTGGACCCCTCGAAGAAGAGAAACAACTATGCTGCCCAGCTGGGGATGAAGAACCCTGCCTAATGGCCACTGCCTCAGAGACAAGTTGGATGCAGACTCTTGCCAGCAGCATGCAAAGCTAAAAGCCAAAGCAGCACTGGACACATGCTCAGCGTGAAAGGGAGGTGGGAGGACAGGCCATGGAGAAACATATGCATGTATACATCCCTATTAGAGTGGTCAGTCGGCTATGGCTCACGGCCCTGCCCCATGCATCTCCAGGCTCCCCTCTCCTTGCATCTGTGCAGCACAGGTCTGCACAGCCAGCCAGAGGCCCATCGCACACATACAGGAAGGAAAGGCAACCAACACAGGATGAGTTCTGCCCACCTTACAATCCTACACTTGCTGAGCCCTACAGTACAAACCGACACTCATCAGCTCGGCACAGGAAACTCCAAGGTACCTGACACAGCTCTCCAGAGATGAGAAGAGGAGGTTAATAAGAAAGCTTCCTCTGCGCTAACTTCTCAGCCACGCCCCTCAGAATGCGGACCACACTGGGTAAGGACCACTCGGGCACAGGAGGAGCGGACACTGACGACCACATGAGACAAAGCAACACTGTAGAAGGGAAGGTGTGACACAGGGCAATAGGACAGGGAGCCAGAACACAAGCCCTTCGTTTCTAGAATGTAGGAAGCACTTTACAACTTTCTAAGAGGCATGAGTCAGCAAGAACTTGTGATTCTGAACACTGGAAGAGGAAATCTTCTGAACACCTGTACTCGTTTGGCATACCTGCTGAAGTTCAGCTTTTTAAAAAGCCCGACATGAATTTGATCAATTAAGCTTTTCTATCTGACTTCCTTTTGGAGACCCTGAAAAACCTAAGTGGAGTCATGCGTGCTAATTAATTCTCTGGCAAGATCGGATTTGTTCATTTCTGTCTCTATAAAAACAAAACAAGGAAGTGATGCCATTTGACTTGAAAGTTACTGGTACCATCCTGGCATCAAGGAATGACTGTGCCCTCTCCCCCACAAAAAAGTCCTGAAGCCCACTGGCTTCCCCTGAAAGATCAGCCTTGCAGAAACACCACTTCTCATCAAGAGTGTACCAGCCCAGTGGCCCAGACAGTCCAGAGGGGAGCACAAGGCTGCAGCAGACACGCCCCTGGCAGTCTCTATCAGCTGCTATGGATCCCCATGCCCACCTGCCTGCCTGTGCTCTCCCTTACAGGCTTCAGCCCAATGAGTGCAGAGAAGGGAATGGCAGCATTAGTGTGGAGAAGTTATTGTGGGTGTGCAGACATCACAGACAAGTTGTTGCAAATGCTCACCACGTTTGATCAACACGGTCAGTGTCCCTGAAAGGAGGGGAAAAAGAGCTCAGAGGAGAAGCCATTTGGTCTAGGGATGCAGGGTGGGGGAGACCCATGGTCTTAAGAGTGTCATCTGTCTACAAAGAGATTTTTCCATCACTTCTACATGTGGGCCACTGTACGATTATGAAAAACTTCCTATCAGAACACTAAACATCTACTAGACAGTTACCATCCTTGCCAGGGCAAAGTAGCCTTAGTTACTCACTGCTCAATCTAGAAGAAAGAAGTTAGGAGCAGCAAGGATTGGAGACTGCCCTCAGCTGTGTCTACTACTCCCCAGCCACAGCTGCTCAGCAGCAGCACAGGGATCCGGGAGCAGAAAGAAGTAGGAAAATCAGGCTCCCTGCCCACAGCTAGAAAACTGTTTCTGCTCAAAGTAGCCATGATCAGTTTTATGGTGGAAATAAGAACTGATGATCTGCATGGTAGCTGTTATCTCACCAATCTGAGAAACCAAACAAAGTTATGTCCACATTTCAAAATTGAATATAATATAATTTTGGGAAGAGAGTTCCCAAATGCAGTTCTGGAAGGACCAATTTCAGAGGCACAGAAATGTGACCCCAAGGGCAGCTCACACAGAACACTGCTAGTAAGATCTCCAAGTTCAGACTCCATAGCCCACCCCACCCGAAAAGCCCCCCCCCTGGGCACCTGCAGTGGTGCTTCCTGCTGGCGAGCCAGAAGGCACTGTCACAGGCATAGCAGTGGGCAGCCAGGTGGTCAGGGAGCCAACGGGTCATCTGCAAAATACATGGGACCAGGTTAGTGACAGGAGGTGGGCCAGTCAGCTCCAGTCAGCAGAGTCACACCAGGGGGAGCAAGAGTCCCAAGGACTACATGGGCTCCAGTGACAGCAGCGCAGCAGGCCTGCTGACAACAGCAGTTCAAGGAAGGTGTCCACACTGTTTGCCTCCCGAGACACCATGGCAGCAGTGGCACCTGGGCTGCCATGAGAGCTGGCAGAGGCAATGGAGAGAGGGGGCCAGTTTGCTGAGTGTCCCTGGCTTAGAACTGCTGGATGTGGGTTCTCAGACAGAGATGCAGAGGCTCCAGTCTCCTGGGAGTTTCTTCCTTGGTGAGGGGCACAGGGCAGGGATTGGAGTGGAGAAAAACTGTAGGACACCTGTATGGATGGCACGCAGAGCAGGGGCTGAGCCTGTACCTCAGTGTCCTGTTTATCCACCTGCTCCCAGCTGGCTTCAGAGAAAATCTCTGTGCTGCAGCGAGACAAACAGTTCTGATCCAGATTGCTTTCCGAGTCGGGGATTGAAGTCTGTTGGCAAACAAACACAGCTGAACAGAATGAACCTGTGTCCTCCCAAAGGCAGAAGAGAGCACTGGGGTCTGAGTGCTAAGGTTCCAAATGTGCAGTGACACCAGCCATCCAGACTTGGGCTGACCAGGTGCAGAGAAGGCCGGGCTCAGAAGGCTAATGAACTTTGTGGAGTGACACTGAGTGGAAAAGCGGCCTTAGGGTCCAGGAGCACGTGAAGTGAGCCAGATGGAGAAGGACCGCCCTCTGTGTCAGCTGTTCTGGTGGGCCTGGTGATCTAGTCCAGCACTTAATGAACACAGTGACTTGGTGTGCTCTCCTTTTTCTGAAGGACTCTTGGGGACACTGAGAAACCATTATTAATTAACATGAAGAAAAAGCTGAAGGTCCTTTGGCTTTAAGTCAATGGATCTGGGATGATTACTCCAGAACCTGCCTTACACTTGTAATGTCAGGCCCCATCAAAGAAGAACCCTGGCACCCTGGCACCCTCTGGGAACCCAAGAACCCTGGCACCCTCATTTCTAGCCACCAAGCCTCATCAGTGGTAAGTCCTCAACAATGCTTTACAAAAAAAACAAAACAAATCAATCCCTTCTCTCCATTTCTCCTGCCAGCACCTGCCACAGAGTGGGCACAAACACTTGTTCGAAAAGAGCGAAGCTCTCAAAGCTCCCAGAGTCTGGGAAAGCAGGCAGCTTACTCGTGAGTAAGGCAGGACAAACACTCCACCATAACAGTATTAGCACTGCTCTGCAAATGCCACTGTGAACAGGTGTGCAAGCCCTTCTAAAAATACAGTATTTTTATTTGGTGGTGGAATAAACTGAGACAGAGTCTCACTCTGTAGCCCAGGTTAGCCTAGAACTCACTATGCAGCTCAGGCTGGCTTCAAACCTGTGGAAATGCTCTGCCTCAGCCTCTCAAGTGCTTTGATTACAGGTGTGAGCCTCAAAGCCTGGCTGACACAGGACCCCATGTCATGCATCAACTCCCTCCCTGCCTCCTAACTGCCTAGAAGGAATGGAAAGCCAGTACAGCAGAAAAGAGGCAGACTGCTGTCTCCATGGCCAAGGCTAATTCCCAAACAATCTCTCTCAACATGGCAACTTAAGACCTTTCTAGTCTTTTCAAAATCTGTTTCAATAACCATGCATTGGGTGCATAGAGCACCTGGCCTGTGTGTTGTCTCTTTGGATAGCTTTAAAGGAATCATGACCTAACTTACCACTTCATCTCCAAAGTCCCCATTGAAGCGCAGGGAGCTGGTCAGGTACTGGCTCTCCAGGCGACTCTTCAGCTCCTGGACTTGTTTCTTCAAGGTCTCCACTTCCTGCTGGTGGCCAGACTCTATCTGACGCAGACGCTGTTGGATTGTGTCTGTGTATACAGGCATGCCATCATCATCCAGGTGGCTGCGGGAAGGCTGGTCAGGGCTGCTGGTAGTGGATGGCCTCCCTGAGTGGTTATTCAGCCACTTGTGGTGCAAGTTCCTTGAGTACAAGTGAGCAGAGCTGCAGACTGTGGCAGACAGCTGGTGGCTCAGGGAGTCCTTACTCCTCCCAGCCTCCCCATTGGCACAGTGCCCATTGGGTGTGGGGTACTTCTGAAGGGTGCCAAACCCTGAAGGCTGTTCTGAAGCCTTGTTTTCAGTCTCTAGGGCACCGTTGCACACAATTCCCTGTCTACATTTGTCTAACGGCAAGGCACAAGGAGCCCGCATCAGGCTGAGGGTGTTGCCAGGGGATGAAGTCCTATATAGCACAGAGTCCCATTGGGGCCTCTCAGCAGACCTGGGCTCTGGAGCCATGGGAAGCATGTCCTTGCCACTGAACCTACCACTGCTTGCCAGGCAAGGTCTGTGATGGAGCTGGGGCCCACTCTCTGACTTTACCTTATCTTCTAGTAACATGTGCATGGAGCTGTTCGTGTGTGGTCCTCTTGTCTCAAATGGGACTTGGGAAGGCAGCAGAGAACTAGACTGTGAGGTACCAAGGCCAACTTTTGCATCTACCGGGAGAGCAGGAGCTACATTTTCCCTGGCCTCTGCAAAATTCTCTACTTGAGGCTGTTCCACAGGGACCTCCTGGGAGTCCTCTCCCCTGAGGGGAGCCTGGAGTGAACTAGAGAGAACGTTGTGCCCATCCTGCTGCTGAGGACTATCCTGTGAGAACAAAGACAGGCTGGGGTCTAGATGGTTTCTTAGAGGAGCATCATCCAGCTTGGATTCTTGGTAAAGGACATCTGAGCCCTCAGCCACCATCCTGCTCTCCTTTGCTAGGAGTGCCTCCTCTTTGACCTCTGGCACCTCAGTGTGCTCCCTGTGGGCAGGCTCTTCTGCCCCACTCTCCTCTTTGGTGGCTTCTTGCAAAATGTTCTCCATCTGCCCTTCAGCCACACCAGCCGCTACAGAGAGCTCAGCACCTCCGAGCAGCCTGCTGGGCTTCCGCAGGCTGTCCACAGCAGGCGCCTCTTCCCCAGACCCAGCAAAGCTGCTCAGCTCCAGTGAGCGCCCATGCTCCTGCCACTTCTCATTCAGGCTGGGGTCACTGCTGCGCCGGCTGGCCAGCGGCACCATGTTGTCACAGGCTGTGGTCAGATTGTCAAATGATCTAGTCTTGGGTAGCCTAAAAGAAAAGGGTTTGGGGAAAATGAGAATCTTAGAGGCTATTAGGAGCGCAGTAGGGGACAAGAGGTTTTTAATAAGCCACTGTTTCACAACAGGGCCATTACAGCAACATCTATGAAAATGAGGCTCCAATTCCTAGAGTGGCAGGGCTCTCCACCAGCACTGCCTGACTGTCAGTCCCTGTAGGGAAAGGGGCTAAAGAAACCCACCCTGACCCTGGAGCCCAGGACCAGGGAAAGAAACACAGCCTGGATCTGGGACCCAAGCCAGAGAAAGAAACACTTTATCCCTGAACCCAGAACCAAAGAAACATGCCCTGACTCTGAAACCAGTGCCAAAGATACACACTTGGTCCCTGGAATCAGAGCCAATGAAAGAAAAATGCCCTGGCCTTAGAATTAGAGCCAAAAAGCTAAGAAAGGCCAGTGAAAGAAACACAGTTTGGCTCTGAAATCAGGGCCACCTCTGTCCCTAACCCAAAAAAACTAACCAATCCCTGGACAGAAAATCTCCCTGGAGAAACTCCACCCCTAAGAAATCCTATATAAGCCATCCTGCCTGGTGGGCTGTTCTTTCCCACCTGGTAGAGGCAGCCACTCTCCTGGACTCCTCCTTCCCAAATAAATCTCTTTCTCAAAAGAGTCTTGGGTGTGAAGACGTTCATTCACTGGCACATAGAAGAAGAACCTTGCTAAGACATCTCTTAGGGCACGAGCAAGGTAGAGCTGAATAGAAGAACCTTGCTGAAACGTGCCATAGGGGACTGAACAAGGTGGAGCAGAAAAAGTAACTTTTTCCGGGAGCTGGAGGAGAGTGCTACATTTCTGCAGGGGTTTCCCGTTAGCAGAGTGAAGCAAAAGAAACATCATCTCAGGCCAGAGAAGAAGCAGAGCTCTGCTGGGAAGCCCCTTAAGTGGGGGCTGAGCAAAGCTCAGCTTGTAGCGGCTCTCCTGGAGAGGAGCAGGATTGTTTTATCCTGTGGGGAGACCACCCCCCACTGAAACCAAACTCCTGAGTTGCAACACTCACAGTCCCCACCTCCAAATAAACTAAAAGCATATATTATTTCTTTTTTTCTTTCTTTTGGTTTTTCGAGACAGAGTTTCTCTCTTAACAGTCCTGGCATTCACTCTGTAGATCAGGCTGGCCTTGAACTCACAGAGAGCCCCTGCCTCTGCCTCCCAATGCTGGGATTAAAGAGGTGCACCACCGCTGCCTGGTGCATATTTGGTTTTTTTGTTTGTTTGTTTTTTGTTTGTCTTTTCAAGACAGGGTTTCTCTGTGTTGTTTTGGAGCCTGTCCTGGAACTCACTCTGTAGACCAGGCTGGCCTCGAACTCACAGAGATCCGCCTGGCTCTGCCTCCTGAGTGCTGGGATTAAAGGTGTGCGCCAATGCCGCCCGGCTGGTAGTATATCTAAAAGTCATTCTTTTACTCCCACCCACCCCCATTCTTTCATTTTTTCCCCTCCCTTTCTTTTTTGATTTTTGAGACAGGACACATGTGCCCCAGATTGGCCTCACACTCTATGTAGCGTAGGAATGATGCTGAATTGCTCTTCTGCCTCTACCACCGATGTGCTGACAGTACAGAAATGTGCAATTGTGCCAGGTTTATGTAACACTGGGGCTCAGACCCTGGGCTTCATGCAAGTATTCTACCAACTGATCTGCACCTACAGCCTCAACAGGCACTCCTCATGATGCTCTGTGTCTCTCAGGTAGTGGCAAAGTAGCTTGCTGGTTCTTTGTATTATACATTTTAAGTTCATTTATTATCTATCACTCTGATCTTAATAAAGCTAATTCACAAGTGGCAAAAGCAAAATTTCTCTCATCTCACAACATGTGACTTTTAAGCCTCAGAAGGGCACAGAGAAAGAAGCAGAGAATACTGGGTAAACAAACCAGAGAGTCACAAAAGACACAATGGATGCGCTCCATCACTGAGAAACTTCTCAGTGCATGCGATAGAATAATGTAGCGCCAAGCCCAACTCACTTCCAGAAATAAGGCCTTACTATTTGTCTTAAAAAGTCTGCCAGTGGTGGTGCACGCCTTTAATCCCAGCATTCAGGAGGCAGAGGTGGGTGGATCTCTGTGAGTTCAAGGCCAGCCTGGTCTACAAAGTTGTTCCAGGACAGCCAGGGCTACACAGAGAAACCCTGTCTCGAAAACTAGAACAAACAAACAAACAAAACAGCAGCAGCTAAACTTCAGCCAGATGTGACAGTTCATGCCAGTAAATCACATCACTGCAAGTATGAGGTCAGCTTGGGAGGGAGGGAAAGGTGGGGGTATGGAGAGGGAAGGAGGGAGAGAGAGAACACCACCATAGGTGACTTGAGACTCGTGGCATCGGCCCTAGGCTCACCGGCTCAAGGGGGGGTCATCAGGGCTGGTGCCTGGGGCTGGGTATGGTCCACAGCTGTCATCTGTGGGAGTAGATGGAGATGGGCAGGGAAGGTATACTGCACTCCATAGCATCAGATTCCGCACATGGCACACGGGGTATAGTACCTGAGAAGAGAGGAGGACACAGGTTTATGTCTCTTAGAAATGTCTAGAAATAAGGAGCAAGAACAAACACACCCAGCTGGGACACTCAACACAGCTGGGTCACAGATCAACAAGGAGGTTGCGACAGTAGAGGAAGGTCTCTCTCCCAAGAGGGCAGGGACAGAACCATGGGGTCTGTTTGGCAACAGCTTCCACTTAAGAGCCTCTTGTGAGCATGAAAATCTAATGAATCTTTTAAAGTCTGACTTATTAATTATCTCAGATGATCTTTACTGACTTTAATCAGACTGATTTACTGCATAAAAATCATTCCATTAGATGATGAATGTCTGTTTCCTCAAAGCTCAGCTTCAGCAGATACTGTCAAACCTGTTTTATAGAATCACTTAAATTAATCATGTGAAAATAAAAGAGTTTCCCTCCCTTATTGCCACTTCCCCAGGAGGCACAGTGAAGGAAGGAGAAGCAGCATACATCTTTTAACTGTAATGAGATGTGGATTCATTGTTAACCTGCTTTGATTTCTAAGGGCTTAAAATGCATCTGACAAAGAGAACATTAACACATTTTGGTACACCAATGTAAGTGCCTCTTTTCTTTGCTTAGCAGAAGGTATTCTTTTGGGGCAACAAAGTCTTAAAAGGTCTACCAGCTCTCCATGTGAAAAAAAATCACAGACACATGCCAGCCTCAGAAAGAGCTGTGTGTCAAGACAGAAGCTGCAATGGGTCCCATTGCCTGGCTCATGGGGACAGTAACAGGAACCTGGTGGCTGACCCTTCTTAGCCATAAAAGGCATCTGAGAAAGAGCTTAGTGCCTTCCCTCTGCTGAACTGAAACACACTAGGAATACAGTGAGCTTTGGTGATGATGCATGTCTAGGGTGGCAAAGTAGAGACACGCACTACACCAAACCACCTTGAACCCAGCTTGGTCATGGGCAGGCCAGAGATTATCAGGAAACAGGCTTTGCTTAGACAGAATGGTGTAAAATGGAAAAATGGAACCAAGATCTTGAGACAGCAGACATGTTTTCACAAAAATAGGCACTACTCAAACCAGCTCCCACTTGTGACCCCATCCCCAAATCCCTTCTGCTGATCACACAGACGGACTGAAAGGTACATACAGCTTCTGACTGAGATGAATACAGTAGGTTTTTGAAAGCTTTGTTGCCTGCCCGAAGAAGTGACCACACAGAGCATGTCCGTTCCTGAGTCTGCTTTTCCCCTCTCTCCTTGGCGTTGTTGCACAGGAATGTTCCAAAGAGGCAGGAATAGGTATGCTGTACCAGTTTCACCTGTGCAAGTCCAATGAGGCAAAAATCACACAGTAGGACACATGGTCTTGGGAAGGAGGTCAGCCCAACTGCACAACTCACCATGACATCCCTGAGAACATTTCAGCTCACTCAAGGATACGGGGGTGTGTGCACAGGCAGTTAATATATGGCCTGCTCTTCAGAATTGCCAATTGCAGGGCCTGACCCCAACCACCAGCACTTCTACATCAAAGGCATTCTAATGCAGGAGGCAGAGTGAAGGACAGGGGAACCAGGGGCTGAAACAGGAAGAGTACATCTTCCACCAAAGAAGAGGGAGGAGAAAGCATGGTGGACAGCACGGGAGAAGGACTGGAGGAGAGCAAGGCACATTCAGATTGTTTCTATTTCTAAATTTTAGACCATACACTTTAGAAGACAAGTTTAAAACAAACTATGTTTACAGAGGAAAAGTTGGTGCACCGAGATTCACTGAGTGAAAAAGAAAATGCCAGTTAACTGCTACTGCTTTTAAATAAAGCAGTCGCTCCCAATTAAACGTGAAAAATGCATAGTTTTGGGTGAAAATGGCCCACTAACATTTGTATTAACATCCCCCTGAGTGTAGGTGGCTCCCAAAATGTAGAATCATTAAGTCCAAACTCACAAGGAATGCTTCATTGAACTCAAAAGAGCAAGGAAATTGCCTCTGAAGCTGATGAACGCAGTCAAGCCACTGCAGAAACACTGGGCAACGCTCGTTCAGGTCATCTGAGTTCTCCCCATGACCACACCGGTCAGCAAACTTATGGCCAAAATCCAGCCATTCCATCTCCACAAGGACTTGGAAACCCTGCAGGGAGGCACCAAGGAGAGATTACTTGTGGAGTACTATCTATCACCTGTGACATCCTGAGCTTCATGTCACCAACAGCAATCTCCTTTAACAGCCTCCTGGTAAGTCCCTCTGGACTAGGCTCAGAGCCAAAGGCTCCCTCCCTAATGGCACACCCATTTACACAAATGTCTCAACTCACGAACTCCATTCAGTATTCACTTAAAGAACACTGACGCCTCTCTCATTTACTACATAAATGCTACCTGCCTACCCACATTTCTCTTTTCTTATTTTTTGCCTTTGATGTTACATTTACAAAGCCATATTTGTAAAAATCCTTCCCCAGCACCGATTTTTATAAATATTTGTATTTTATGTCACGTTATGCTTTTGTTCTTCTATCTTTAACCCACAGACGTTATTTCAGAGATGTTCTTTCTCCAGAATTCTGTGTGGTCCTGTCTAGACCCATCATAAGCATGTGGATATTCTTTTGCAGAAACCCATTTTCCTGAGGTAGACAAATCTTTCTAAGTAGAGAAATTGCAAAGGAAACATTTCTGTCTTCTTGGTACCTTTCAGCCAAACCGTGTTCCACTGAATAAGGTGAAGAACTAGCAAGAGACACCTAGCCATACAGCTCTAAGGGGAGGAGGCATGATTAAAACAAATTGGCAATTTTTACAGGCCTAACTTTCAGTCCCCACACCGATCATGCAACCCTCCTAACGGTTTCCTCAACTTCTCCTGAAGTCCTCCCTCCCTCCCTCGCTCTGACACACTCACCTCTACTGTTCGGTAGTAAGGGTCCAGCAGGAGCTTAGCCAAGGCCACAATCTGGGGCGTGCGATCCCAGCCATCTGAGCAGTGCACTAGCACTGGGCGTTGATCACGGTCCACAGCATGCACTACAAGAAGTGCTGACTTCAAGAGCACTGACAGGTGATGGAGCCATTTTGTACTCTCAAGAGCTGAAAGCCAACTATACAAAAGGGGAAGATAAGGAAATACTATGTTTATGATTTTATGGTATCATGTCCAATGCCTATCAAATTAAAAAGCAATTACCTAAGACCTTTGCCTCTAATTATAGTGATTTAAAAAAAGTCTATTTACAAAGCAAGCCCAAACGAGAGAGTTAAGCTCCACAATCAAGAGAGGACAACTTTAGAAAAAAGGCTGTAATTAACAATGCCACATTGCACCTGGAACTTTTTAAAAGGACTGATTCTTAATTTGTAACTATGTGTATGGGAGGTGGTGTGCATGTGAGTGCAGATGCCTGAGGAGACCAGAAGAGCTGTCATATCCCCTGGAGCTAGAGTTACAATATGGGTGCTAAGAACCAAGCTTGGGTCCTCTGCAAGAGCAGTATGGGCTCTTAACCACTGAACCGTATCTCCACTTCCCTAGCCATCCCCCCTCTTTTCCTGCGATGGTGGGAATGAAAGCTAGGGTCTTGCATTTGTTAGTTAAGTGTTCTAGCATTAAGCTATACCCCAATCCTGGTTCTGACACACACACACACACACACACACACACACACACACACACACACACACACACTTATTAGCTTGAGACGGGTCTTGTCATACAGCCCAGGCTGATCTGGAACTCAGTTCTCTTAGATGAGCCTCCAAGTGCTGGACTCCCAGGTATATACCACCACACCTAGCTCTCCACAGGTAATTTGCCAAAAGGGGGGTGGGGGTGGGGTGGACAGAGTAATGCTAGACAGGTACATACAGTATAAGGAATAGCTCTTATGGACACTTCTGAGACCCCTAAGAGATTTTACAGAAGCTATTTAATGACTATCAACTCTGACCTCACAACAAAATAAAGAAAACACATATATACAAATACATCTAGGATGAGATGTAAGCTGGATGACACACACAAGAATGGTACAAACTTTACCTATCACCCATGTCCGAACACCAACCACTGTTAAGTCTTTACTATACTTATTGACTAAAACTAGGTAAGTCCAAGGAGATGAACAGTCATGAAAAGTGGTACAATGGCTACATAGTATCACTGAGTTAATTCAGATTGGATTCAGAAAGGATCCCCCCCCTCTAAAAAATCCTTTAGAGGTTATCAAATAAAAAAGAATTGTCTCTTTGGCATAAGGTTACATATTCCATCACCACCCCCAACTATGTTGACATCTCTTCCTCCATCCCTCATTCCCCCAAAACAAGTTCCGATTTTTCCCAAATGTAGCCAAATTTGTGACTTAAGGCTACAAGTCTAGCCATTTAAACACTGAGAGAGAAGGAATAAAAACGGTCCAGGATCTTTGAGACGAGTTTGTCCAGGTAAGGTCTAGATGAGGCCTCTAGCACAACGCTGGTCTACTAAACCTAAGGAATGAATGGGAATTTTTGTTAAGCTCTTTCCTGCCAGGCCATCCGACAACATAACAGTCTCTAAGTGTCCTTTACAACTCGACTGGCTCAGAGACTGACACTGTCTCCATCACTGCTGTACCCCAAGCTTAGCCCCTAGCATAAGGGAAGAGTCCTTCTAGTTAATGAAGTCTAAGTTTGCCATTGGTAAAATTCAATTTTGAGACTTCCTATCTCAAAATTAAGTGTATCCTAGGTACACTGAAAACACTTTCCTGATAGGTCAGTTGTTTGTTCTCTTTTGCTTTAAAATAAATCAAAAGGCTTAAGAGATGAGTAATTAAACTATCTCCCTGCTGCTGAAGAAGCAGTAAACAAGACTCTGGCGGAGAGTACTCTTCAACCTGACTGAATGCTTATGAACTAGCAGCCAGTGGTGTCTGTGCCGGAGAGAAGCTGTACTGCAGTCGGCCACCAAAGGGGATGCCACAGCACTCCTCTGTGCTAATGTCAAACTGGAACAGAACCACATCATTCCCCAGCCTGCCACAGCTCCAGATGGATGGCTTATTCACAGTGCCCATCATTGCCATAGCTTCTTTTTACCCATAAGAGAGATTAAAAAACCTAAATACAAAACATTATTTCTTTAACAAATCCTCCATTCATTTGGACATGGAAGAGGCTAATTATTTTTTGTGTGTTCAAAATAAAGTTTTGTTTTTAAATATTTATTTTTTTACTTCATGTTTTGTGGGGGGGGTGCAAGTGGGTATGTGAGCCAGTGTTAGCACACAGTTCCACTGAAAGCCAGAAGAGGGCATTATATCCCTAGTAAGTGGAATTACAGACAATTGTGAGCCACTATGTGGATGCTGGAAACCAAACCTGGGTCCTTTGCAAGAACAGCAAGTGTTCTTAACCACTGAGCCTCTTTCTGACCTCAAAAATCAAGTTTTTAAAGAAATAATTTAAGTATATGGGAGGTATTAGCGACTACTCAATACTGATCTGGTCTATTTACTTTACATGAAAAGGGATCCTGAGCAATTAAACCACATAGGCAAAGACACATCTCTACAGAGTCCTTACACCAACCTTAGGGGAAAGAACTAGCTAGGCCCTGGAGCTAAGTGACAGATGCAGTGGATACTCCTCAAAGGAAAGAAAGCAGCTGTTCTCTGGTCACTGCAATGGTCTAGATGAGAATGGTCCCAGAGGCTTACATACTTGATTGTTAGTCACTAGGAAGTAGCACTATTTGGAGGGGTTAAAAGGATTAGAAGTTAGGGCCTTGTTGGAGGAAGTGTGTCAAAAGGGGTGGGCTTTGGGGTTTCAAAAGCCCATGCCAAGCTCAGTATCTCATTCTCCGGCTATAGATCAGGATGGAGCTCTCAGCTTCTGCTCCAGTGTCTGCATGCCATCTTGCTGCCTGCCATGATGATAATGGAACTGTAATGTAAGCAAGCCCCTCAATTAAATGTTGTCCTTCATAAGAGTTGTCATGGTCATGGTATCAGTTCACAGCACTAGAAACCCTAACTAAGAGCCATCTCTCCAAAGGACACTGCTTCATCCTCAGGGCTGACTGCCACTGTGATAAATCTAATCACTTTCTTGGTTGGTTGGTTGGTTGGTTGGTTGGTTATTTGTTTTTGGTTTTTCAAGACTGGGTTTCTGTGTAGCCTGGCTGTCCTGGACCTTGCTCTGTAGACCAGGTTGGCCTTGAACTCAAAGAAATACCCTTGCCTCTGCCTCCCTAGTGCTGGGATTAAAAGCGTACAGCACTACCACCCAGCAATTTAATTACTTTTTTACCAAGAGTCAGCACAAGGAGTTTAAGGCAGCAACTGATAAATCTTTTATAAATCCAGTTATGAGCTGGGCGGCGGTGGCGTGGCACACACCTTCAGTCCTAGCACTTGGGAGGCAGAGGCAGGTGGATCTCTGTTCTGATACACAAAGAAACTCTGTCTTGAAAAACCAAAAAAAAACAAAAAAAAAATCACTTAAGAACACAAAACAAACACACTTGATGTGATTATGTGGATCTAATGACAGGAGTCAAGGAAACAACTATGGGTTTCAGCATAAACACCTAAAAGAGAAAATCCTATTTTCATTGGCACATCTCTGGCTTCCTGAAATAATAGGGAGGGGCTTTTAAATATTTATCTGTTCATATTTGTTTTACAGAGCACTGCTCCTAATTTATCTTGCATTCAAACAATCCCCTTGCAGAGGGGGTATTACTTTACCTTCCTCACTGCAAATTCCAGCCATTCTTGTTTGTTTTTTGTTTTTTTTTAATCTGTCATATATTACATCCTGAGCGCAGTTTCCCCTCCCTCCCCTCTCCCCCAGACCCACTCCCCATTCTCAGCCTGTCTCCTCTCAGAAAAGAACAGGCATCCCAGGGACATCAACCAAAACAACATAACATGCTACAATAAGACTATCACATCGAGGCTGGACAAGGCAACCCAGTAGGAGGAAAAGGGTCCCACCCAGCCATTCATTTTCAATAAGCAATAGAAATTAGGATGTTATTACTGAGCAAGCTTACTTTAGAAATGGAAGCTAAAGTGTAAAAACAGCAAAGAAACAACCCCAAAACCAGTCTAACATGTTTAACACTTGTAGAACATAATGAGAAACTGGAGAGATGGCTCAGTTGGTAAAATGCTTGACACAAGTATGACAACCTGAGTTTGAGTCCTTCAGCACCCAAGTTAAAAAAAAAAAGATGGGTTGACTCGAAAGCCTCCTCTCTTAGACTAGCTTTCATAGTACCTAAAGGGGTTATACAAGCTTCAAAAGGAGGAAAGCTACCACCAATCCTAGCCAGCTGTGATGACTATAAACCACAACGACGACCAGCATGGCATGAAATCCCTAAAAGTACAGCAGTGGCACTTTTAGCAATAACCACCAGCTGTACCACCAGACTTAGAGCCTGCTCAACAGGAGAGAACTCGTGACTGGTACTGGAAAACTAGCCACCTACCCAAGACTAATGAGATCATGGACCTTAATGAGGACCTACAATCACCACACTATTAAACCAGCATCATTCCCAGCTGAATTCTAAATACTTATCCAGTAACTCACAGATAAGTGGAATTTTCACCATTCATCAAACAAACTTCTCTTTGCAACAAGTGGAGACTATTACAGAAAATCACAACTGGTCAAATCTAGAGAACAACTGGTTGTGGGGTGCCTAGCACCAATCAATAGACCTTCAGTACAACTCCTGCACCTAAGGCTCTGGGAACATTGTAGAAGAGGGAGCGAAGAGGACCAGGAAATCTGCTGTGAGACTGTGTCTCCTAGAAATGATAGAGAAGTTTCACTCAGGAGACCTCAACAATATGGCTGCCTTAATAAGATCTGAACAAGTATACCACCAATAGACATTCTAACTTGGAAAGGGTTAATCTCAGAGGACCCCACCCTTGTGATAAAGAACTACATTATAACTGGGTAATACTTATAGTGAGAGAAAATCAAACATATAGGCAGGGTGGGTGCGTGCGTGCGTGCGTGCGTGCGTGCGTGCGTGCGTGTGTGTGTGTGTGTGTGTGTGTGTGTGTGTGTGTGTAAATTGTGACTTTACAGTAAGACACCTCAATTCACAGCAAGTGTTACTATAGTAGTTTAGGGACCAAAGAATTACACAGTTTGAGCTAAAAGACAATGCAAAAGAGAAAGGAGCGGTTCCATGAACAAGAATGTATTACTTCTGTTCTGAGGGCTGAGATCTATTTTGTGCTGCACATCCCTGTGGCAGAACTGGTTACAGATGTATCAGTTGGGGCTGAGGAGCCTAGACGAAGAACTATAGGCTAACTAAGGAGCAATGAGATTGGGAGAAATCATCTTCCCAAGGAAGAGTTCCCAATTGATTATCCAATACAAAGTAGTGAGCCCTAAAAAAACAAATATATGATAAATGGATGGAGCAGGTAAATTTATATATATACACACATGTAACAATAATTAAAAAATAGAGGTCATAAATTTGAAAGGGAACAATTGGGGGTGCATGGCAAGAGTTGGAGGGAAAGGGAAGGGGAAAATGATGTGATTATATTTTAATTTCAAAAATAAGTTAAAAAAAAAAACCTGCAGAAGAGCTAGACTGCTTTTTCAACAGCTCATGTTCTATGCTGCCTGGCTCCTAAGCCTAGAAGAATATCCACAGAGACTGAAAGTATAACTGAGGTTCACTAAAACAAAACAAAAAAGAAGAATACCCTCAAACTTGTTTGTTGTTGTTGTTGTTTTGTTAAGAAAGGAAGGAGGGAAGGGGGGGAGAGGGAGAGAGAGAGAGAGAGAGAGAGAGAGAGAGAGAGAGACAGAGAGACAGAGAGACAGAGAGACAGAGAGAGAGAGAACAAAAGCAGTAACAAGGGAAGCAACACACAAACTAAAGCCCAGGGCTTACTTTCCAGGATCTGGCATCTGTGTGCACAGCAGTCGTAGAGACTGGAAACTCCTCCGGATAGAATGGATATTTGCCATTCCCATAAACACAACTTCACAGTTTGGGTAATACTCTGGAGAGAAAAACAATAAAGAAAACATAAATACATTCAAAATAAGGATCACATGAGCAAATGTAACAGCAGCAAAGTGGCAGCACTCAGACAGCAGGGCATGACAGATTCAGAAAGGGCACCTCACCAGGATTCTGTTTACTACCACCTCCATTTTCACCCCTCTTTTCTTTTCTTTCTCTCTTTCTTTCATTCAAGACTTATGCCTGCATGTGTGCCTGCAGGCCAGAAGAGGGCACCAGATCTCATTACAGATGGTTGTGAGCCACCATGTGGTTGCTGGGAATTGAACTCAGGTCCTCTGGAAAAGCAGCCAGTGCTCCCAACCAGTGAGCCATCTCTCCTGACCACCGCGTTTCTAATAAGTCTAGGGCAAGTGTGCTAGGAGCTAAGGACTCACATTTGTACTGTGAGAGACAACAATGCTTTTAGAAGAGCAGACTGAGAGCCTCTACAGCAGCACTAACAGACCTGGGGAAAGTCCAGCTTTCCTATCACCAAAGATTGGCACAGAGGAGGAAGATGATCTGCACCTTGTCCAAAGCACAAGAATGTCAAGGACCCAAAGAGCTGCCCTGGCTTTCCAGATGCAGAGTGAGGAATGTGCCTTGTCATTTGTTTTAAATCAAGTCTAGGTTGTGCGTGAGCTGCAGTGACAAGGACAGATTATCAAGGGGCAGATCATGCTCTCACCTGGGCACTCACAGCCTCCTCCTTTGGCTCGATTTGCCACAGCTGCTGCATAGGAACGTGCATCCAAGATCAGAAGTTTTTGTGGCTGGAGAGCTAAACTTTCTGCTCCTGAAGCATTTGACAGAGAGGAATCTGCAGACATCAAGAAGAGGGTAAAAACTAAATGAGCCTAGCTTTCCTAGAACTGTGAAAAATTAGAACCAGAGGCATTAGAACCAGTCAAAACAGACAAAATGAAACTCAATCAACAAAGCCTCCTAACTAGACCCTGGTACACAGAATTGGCTTCCGTCTACCCTGTTTTGCCTTCTGATTAGAACTGAAACGGATTTATCCCATGAAGACCCACACTGCCCAGTCTCTTACTCCCATTTCTACCCCTGCAGTCCTTTCATAGAAGCTGGTATTTCTCTCTGTAGACTGGAGACAACCCAAGTCCCCATTACAACTCTCATGATAGCATGAAAGACAACGCCGGGTTCTTAAATCAAGCTTGAAACAAAAGGTCTTCCAGGGCTTTGTCAAGACCTGCCGCTCCTCAAACAATCTCACAGAATTCTCTTTTACCAAAGTAACTCTATAACCAGGTGTGGTAGCACATACCTTTAGTCCCAGCAATCAGGAAGCAGAGGCAGGTGGTTCTCTGTGCATTTGAGGCCAGCCTGATCCACATAGTAAGTTCCAGGACAGAGACCCTGTCTCAAAAAACCCAAAGTAACATTGTCTTCTAGGAAAAAGCCACTTTAAGAACAGCTTCCCAGGTGCTTCTAAAAACTGCTGCCATGGGTCTAGAGAGCACCTTACCGAACTCCACATCAGAAAGATCTCCGCCATTGGGAAAGTCCCGACAACTGTTCCTAGTGGAAACCTTGCTGATACTTGATTGAGAGTCACAAGCACAGGCTTTGGCCACTGACTGCACCAGATGCTCATCATCAGCATTTCGCCAGCCCCACCAGCTAACCTCCGGCTGTCCGCAGCGGGCAATGACAGCTCCATTGCTCTGGTGCCTGTGTGGAGACAAGAGACAATAACTACTATTTCAAGGCCCCCATCTGATGCTCTGTACTCAAATAAGAAGTATGGTAGTTGATTGTAAGTTCTTTAATGAATAGCCTGACACGAGGTAAATATTGAATTGGCTTCAAATCCTTGCAGTATTAATAGGGACAGAAATGAATAACAAAACCTACATAACTTTCTCAATTACATCCTTCTATATAGTGCCCTCTATAAAGTTACCAACAAATGATAAATGAATATTCTCAGAGAAAATGAACTAACATTCATAATTTAGATATTCTGAACCTTTATGTTTGGGAAATAAGCTTTTTTTAAAAAAAATTATGAATACTATTCTAATTCTACTATGTAATAATTAAATACAAATTCTTCATTTCGGATACTAAATCCAATACATTAGATGCTAAATTATAGAACAAATTGTTTTGCCTCACTTCTGAGGGTCCACTGCAGTACCCAGGCTCATTACTGCTGGCTTGAGGATTCTTTTCAAACATTTCCCATCTCTGTAACTGGAACATTCACCTGGCCCACAGTGGACTCCTTTATGAGTCACAAGTTATTCTTACTAGAGGCATAGCACTCAATGACCCAGCCATGCTTCCTTCCTCAGGCTCGTAGAAGGAAGATATCACAATCCCACTAAACCACACTCTGACAGATCCTTTTCCAAACAGAGTCTATGCTGAGATGCTATTAAAATTTCAGGTGTTTTCCAGTATGTCAATTAAAAAGTTTGGGAACTGTAATATTTACTAGTAAAAATGGAATAAAGTTCAAACACATGCTAAATCATCAATAAATTGGAATGTGTCACATAAATTGGAATGTGTCACATAATAATAAAGTGAAATAAGCCCATCACAGAGGACACATGTTGTTAAGGGTCAATTTATATGACATATTCAGAATAGATCAATCTAGAGAAACAATGTATTACGGGTTATACTTTGGGCTAGAGCAGTTGGGGAAGTAAGGAACGACCGCTAATGAATATGAGGTTTCTTGCAGGGTATCAAAAATATACTAAGATTGATTGCAGAGGTGGGTCATACAACTCTAAATGTAATATACTAAAAGTTGCTAAATTGTATTGACATACTTAAAGCTTTTTTAAGTTATAAAAGTAATCATCTGGCTATAAAGATGGAGGGCTCAGTGGGTGAAGGACATGCCTGAGCAAGCCTGGTACCTGCACTCCATCCCTGAACTCATGTGGAGTCACTCCACAAAGTTGTATCACATGTGCTGTGGCCCATACACATCACACACACATAATAATAAATAAATCAATGAATAAATAAAATTTTATAAATCTTTCAAAAAGATTTTTGTTCTATATTTTATTTCTGTGTATGTGGGTGAGTCTGTGTATGGAAGGAGAGACCAAAAGAGGACAACAGATCTCTAGGAGGTGCAGTTACAGACAGTTCTTGAGTGCCCAATATGGGTCTAGTAACCAAACCCCATTCACCTAAAGAGCAGCAAGTGCTCTTTACCACTTAGCCAACTCTTCAGCCCCAATAAACACTTTAAAAAAAAGGTCCACCAATTCTATATCCTGAAGAAAATGCCCATGTTTTTAAAAATGCTCTTGAATATGCACATGCAAATCTGCATACAAATAGTACAAATGTGTTTACACAGAACACAGTACTCCGTTTTCTTCTTTAGGGAACAATCTGAGACAAGTTTGTTTTTAGTCCTTAAATTCACAAGTAATGAATTAATTTAGTGGTAATCAAACCCCACTAGAACAGTTTACTTATAGGTTTTCAATCCTCCTTCCATGTGAGCAGCACGTTGGCTAACAGTACACATTATTACCAACACCTCATTGGCTCCCACACAAATGAAGCAAAGACATGAAATCCAGTGGATTCTTGCTGTGCCTCCCTAATAGGCTGGGGAATCACTGAGCTGAATGACTGCAAACTTCCCAGAAGAGGGTGGTGGAGACTTCCTGAGCATCCTCTGTAAGGTTTCCTAGCACTGAGCCAGGAACTCTTCACCCTGGGTCTTAGTTTTTTCAGGGTCAACTGGGTCACTACAAGTAGCAGTAGTCTTTTAATCTCCCAAAATGCTTGATACTGCATCAAAGATTGCTCAAGCCGGACAGTTCCAATCACTTCAAAAGGAAAATTAAAAAGAAAATAAGGTAAAATAGACGTTTTACCACTTTAAAAAACAGAATTTGGAAAAATACCAAAGGGTGAAAGGTCTAGTAAATGAATCCACCTACTAAAACATGGAATGCTTCCATTTTACATGAAAATGCAATGGTTTTAACTGCCTCTAAGTCAACAGTCACGCAAGCTCCCCATAGCATAAGATGCTTTGAAAGATCACCATGTGTACACACAGAGGTGCTATGAGCTGCACTACAGATGGGGGCCTCCCAAGATCTTGCTATGTTAAAGCAACTCCACAGTTCTAATCAGTTACTGGTTCAGCTCAGCTAACTGCTGCTAGTAACCTCAGAAATCATTGCTGCAGCCCACAAATAACTAAATCTAGGAAATGTTGGGTTTAGAGGCATCTTGCCACCTGTGGTCGTTTGAATAAAATGTGATGGTTTGAATGAGAATGGGCCCCATAAGCTCATATATTTAAATGCTTGGTCATCAAAGAATTGCACTATGTGAGAAGGATTAGGAGGTGTGGCCTTGTTGAAGAAGTATGTCACTGGGGGTGAGCTCTGAGGTTTCAAAAAGCCCATGCTTGCAGAACAGGATGTAGCTCTCAGCTAATACTCCAGTTCCATGAGAGCTGCTGTGATCCCTACCATCATAATAATGAACTAAACCTCTGAAACTATAAGCAAACCCCCAATTAAATGCTTTCTTTTATAAGAGTTGCCTTGGTGTGGTGGTTTGAAAGAAAATGGCCCCCAAAGGGAATGACACTATTAGGAGGTGTGGCCTTGTTGGAGGAAGTGTGTCACTGTGGGTGCTGGTTTTGAGGTCTCTTTTCTCAAGTTTCACTCAGTATGACAGTCAGTCGACTTCCTGTTGCCTCTGAGTCAAGATGTAGGACTCTCAGCTCGAGCACCACATCTGCCTGCACTCCGCCATGCTCCCCATCCTGATGATAATGGATTGAACCTCTGAAACTATAAGTGAGCCACCTCAACTATAAGTGGTCATGGTGTCTCTCCACAGCAATAAAAAACCCTAACTAAGACACTTGGTTATGATGTCTCTTCACAGCAATAGAACAGTGACTAAAACATCACCTCTGCTAGCATTGAAGAGTGGTGGAGTGTCCCCAACATTCAACACACCCCTCACAAAACTAAACAACATGGGAATCCAATTTGGACATCAGAAATATAAGATACATGTCCTGGGATAGAGAGCAGCTCCAGGAAGCCTTCTGGATTTACATGGGCTACATCAAGAACTTGTAACTATAATCTTGATTTTCTCTCAAAGACTGAAAATGAAAAATTCCATTTATGTATATATTCTAGGATCTCTAGAATGGGGGAACCCTAGAACTCATGCCTTTTAAAATAACATTTTAGAAAAGAAAAAAAAAAAACTAAATGTCTTATCACATTCTAAGAGCTTTTCTTACATAGCACACTTAGGCTTTCTGCCTCAGGGCAGGATTCACTGAAGCCTGTGACTGAGAAGATGAGAGAACTTGCCCTTCGGCTCCAAGTCAGCAAGGCTCGCAAATGCCAGGCAGCTGATCTAATACCGCTGTCGGTCACAGCAGCCAGCTGCTTTTCCCATTCTTATAAATCCCTTCAGCTTTCACTGCTAACTCCCACGTCCCTCTCACCACTTGAGTGATAGGTCAGTTTGGTGACCTACCTTTCCAGTAGTGTCAGAAAACAAAAGTGATGAAAATGGAAGGCTTAATGGGTTCCACTGAGCACAGCAAATATCGTTCACTTTCTGTATTCAGCTGGGCATTAGAATTTACCTTCAACAGATAGGAAGGCCACAAGAAATACACTTTCCTAGAGCCTCAATATTTGAATGCAATGGCTCCTGGTGGGCAGTTTTTAACTAAGTCATTGTTTTGGTTCACCTTGGGCAGAATCTATAAAGTATACACACCAAAAAAATTAAATGGAGACCATTAACATTACAAGACACAATAATGACTTCCTAAAAATTAACATGATTGTATAAGAGCAAAAAGGTCACTGACTTTTAAAGCTAGCACTCAAGAATATTTTTTTTCTTTTCTTTTCTTTTTTTTTTTTTCTCTCTCTCTCTCTGTTTTTGAGACAGGGTTTTTCCGTGTAGTTTTGGTGCCTGTCCTGGATCTCGTTCTGTAGACCAGGCTGGCCTGGAACTCACAGAGATCCACCTGGCTCTGCCTCCCAAATGCTGGGATTATAGGCGAGCACCACTGCTGCCCGGCTAAGAATATACTTTATTCCAAATGTCACTTAAAGACATTAAAGTGTTAAGAAGCTCTCATCAACATGCCACAGCATGTTGTAACGTAACAATTACCTGTCCCATTCAGCTCACCAGAAGCAGACTGGAGTCAATTAGGGTGCCACAGTCAGAATGGACAGGAAGTCAGATCTATCTGTCTTTATCTCACCCACCCCTTTCAAAATTTGGACCCCTTAGAACTTGTTATACATAGCTATTTCCTCTAAATTAAAATACCCCTCTTGCAGGGAAGAGGAAGACTTCTAAGATGCTCGTAGCACAAGAATATGCACCTCTCCAAGGGTATAACAGCAGTAAACACTTGCTGGGGAAGAAAACGCTGGTGGGGCTGCCTACAGTTCTGTAGAGAATGCCAGTAATGCAGCTTTCACGAGTCACCACAATGGGGAAGCTATCTCAGAATCATCTGCTTCTCGAACCCACTCCTCACCCATGCTCCTAGAAGCAACCTTAAAAGCTGTAATTGGTCAGCAAGCTAAATCAGATGGAAACATTTCTTATGTCTGTATCTGGGATTAACAGAGGTTCATACATGTTTCCCCACAAGAAATCACACACAGCTCTTACGCCTTGGATCTCTGAAATTTTAGAAACAGCGGGACTGTTTCTTATATTTTTGGTTGTGAGCCTAGCCTTTAACGGCTGAGCTATCCCTCCAGCCCGGGACTGTTTCTAATTGTATCTCAAAACAAGAGTCTTTCCTTATGTCAAAGTGACAACCACAAACACCATTATAGTTCATTCAGCTCTAAGTTTCACCAATCTTTCAACACAAAAGCCCTATTAAACATCTGATATTAAATGCAGCAAGCACAAGGAAGAATGCTTTTTTTCCCCCCCAGTTTTCTGAGACAGGATTTCTTTTTATAGCTTTGGCTGTCCTGGAACTCACTTTGTAGACCAGGCTGGCCTCTAACTCAGAGCTCCACCTGCCTCTGCCTCAGGAGTCTGGGATTAAAGGTGTGCACTGCCACCGCCCAGCTTTAAATTAACACTTTAAAAAAAAAAAAAAAAAAAAGACAAAGTCTTCCTGTTCAATAGTCCTGTCTAGCCTGGAAGTCCTTATATTGATGTAGACCAGGCTTGTCTTGAACTAACAGAAATCCACCTGTCTCTAACTCTCGAGTGCTAGGATTAAAGGCGTACTGCCACACCTAGCCCAGATACTTTTCTATTAAAATGTTCTCATCAGGGTCCACTCACACGACTAGCTAGTGTTCTGGACACAATGAGTACTAGTATATTTCTTTCTGCAGGCACAGCAGCTTCAGCAATAAGGAAGCATGGACTTGCTTGCCTGGGACTGTCTCTGAACCCTACCCCACCTGGCACTTACCAGGTTAACAGCAGGTGGTGGGGCAGTAGTACCAGCCTAACCTGGGGTTGGTCTGGCTTACTTACCTGTAGATGACAGCAGGGATGCGCTTCCAGGATCGGAAGCCTGCCACACTTTCTAGTTCTTTGTCAGTGATCCAGGCAGGTACTATGAGCTCTTGTGGATAGCTACCACATAATCTGTTGGAAAGAAGAGAATGGTGGTGAGAAGAAAGGAGGAAGGGAAGGGAATAAGATGGGGAGTGAGAGGGATGCAGGACACGACATGAGCCAGCACGACGGGGGCATTGTTCATGCCACCACAAAGCCAGCTAAAAAGGTAGTGAGGGTGCTTACCTAGCATGTTCAAGAACCTGTACTCATTCTTTAGCCCAGGACAAAAAACTAGCACAAGAGAAAAAAACCTAGCACTGAGGGAGCAGTATTTGAGTTTTTGGTTTCCTTAACAGAATAGGCAGCCATAATTTTGCTTATATTTTATACACATTATCTTTGATGGTTCAATCTGATGCTACCTTTTGGAATTTGATAATCTAGCAATAAAACAATGAGAGTTGAGGGACATTCTCACACTCCATGATAATTCTCTGTTGATGTATGTATGTATGTATGTATGTATGTATGTATGTCATTTTAAACTACTGGAATAGTCAGTTAAATTACAGAAAAAAGCATCTATGTCTCCTCTTGTAGCTTTAGTCTTCCTGGCTCTTGTCAAAGGAAGCATGAAAAGGACAAAGCCCACCATTCAGATCTCCAAAGAACTCTTCAGATTAATTTACTCAATCTCTGACATGAACTAGGATGTCCTAATTGTAAGCAACAAGTGCAGCCAGGAGTTACACTGATACAATACACAGTAATAATCCCAGTGAGCCAAATTAGAAACGTGAATAAGCAATTAATCATAATGCCTATGAAACACACTGTAGAAGAAACTATATACTGAGAAAGACGCTGTCTCTTGCTTGCTCTCTCCGTTCCCCTTCCCCTGTCTCACTCTTGAGTTCTCTCTCTCTCTCTCTCTCATTTTAAAATGAAAGGTGGCAGATACATTCTAAAGTCAAGCTGTTGACCTGGGGCAGAGTACTTCTGACAGGCTTTATTTACAGGGCAGTATCACTGAGTAATCTTCCCTTTGAAAGCAGTATGGAAATTAACACTAAAACTCACAATGCATCTGTGCTGGCTAGTTTTCATGTCAATTTGACACAAGCTAGGGTCAGGTGGGAAGAAGGAAACTTAAGAAAATTCTTCCACAGGATTGGCCCATAGGCATTTTCTTGATTGATGCCTGATGTGGGAGGGCCCAGCCCACTATGGGTGATGTCACCACTGGGAAGGTGGTCCTGGATGGTTCAGAAGTCAGTTGAGCAAGCCATGGAGTGTAAGCCAGTAGCAAGCAGTACTTCTCTGTGGTCTCTGCTTCAGTTCCTGCCCCTCAGGTTCCTCCCTGAGTTCCTTTGGTGAGGACTGTGATGTGGAAGTGTAAACAAACCCTGTCCTCGTGAAGTTGCTTTCTGGTCATGGTGTGCTATTGTAGCAATAGAAACACTAACTAAGACACCATTACCTTCATCACCCTCCCCTACTCTGTTCTATGCATTAGAGGAGATTTGATCACTTTACACGACATCTCTTTCTTCCTTGCTCTCAATTTCCAGAAGATAAAGAACCAGACATTTAAAAGCCACTGAGCCAGGAGGATGGTTGTGACTGAGAATAGCTACACAAACTTCCTAACACCCATTCAAGCTCTTTTTTTTTTTTTTTTATTTGTTCTGTTTTGTTTTCCTAGAGAGGGTTTCTCTGTATAGTCCTGGCTGTCCTTGAACTCACAGATCCACTTTGCCTCTGCCTTGCAAGTGCTGGAATTAAAGGCCTCCATTCAAGCTCTTGCCAGTCACCATGGCAACTACTCTCCAATCACTCATCTTGTGCTTTTGGTTGTTTTAGGTTGAAGACTAGACCTGGATCTCATTCTTTAGCAGTGGGATGACTGTTTCACAGTCCTGGAGACTGACTTACTCATAGGAACTGGTGGTTCTGAGCTCACTGTCTAACAGACCCCATACCTCTTCTACTCAGAAGTCAGCTCTGCTCACTGTGAGTAAGCAGCTCCAGGGTAGGGAAAGGGGGTTCCACTCAGCAAAGCCTATGTAGCCTCAGGTTCCTATGGCTTTTCTCTCCTTCAGCCTGCCTCTGAGAACAGCTCCATGTGAAGCTCTTGCACCTTTGTAACCCTATGCTCTTCACTTGTTGGCTAGGCCCATGTGAAGAGCTGCAGTAAGTAGTACACTTTCCAGTGAAAACTGGCCAACCACAAACAGATCAAGAAAATGGCTATTATAATTTGAGGTAACTGAAAAGATCAAAGGATGATTAGTGCTGCAAAGAAACTTACGAGGGGAATAGATTCATTTCAGTCTCCTGGACCTTGTTGTTTTACAGAAACTTTTTTAAAAAAGATTTATTTATTTATTATATATACAACATTCTGCCTCCATGTAACCTTGCAGGCCAGAAGAGGGCACCAGATCTCATTACAGATGGCTGTGAGCCCCCCATGTGGTTGCTGGGAATTGAACTCAGGACCTCTGGAAGAGTAGTCAGTGCTCTTAACCTCTGAGCTATCTCTCCAGCCCTTACAGAAACTTAAGATTGACAAAATCACAGTACCTAAATTCTATTTCAAAGTACCTAAATTCAATGGTCTGCCACCTGAGAATTTTAACTCTGTTAAAAGTACTGGCTGTGAAACTCAGTCTGCAAGTATCCATGTAACTCACTTGTATTTCTCATTGATGTTGGAAATCCTCCAGGCATTGTTCATATCAAAACCCATCCGTTCCACTTCATTCTTAAACCTTGACGTTACATGCTCCCCTAGGGACAGAGACAGAGAGCAGAAACAAAAAAATAAATACAATTTTGCAAAATGGAAGACAAAACCATTACCACTTTGCTCTGTTCTATTTAAATTGTTTTAGAGGCAGGAACGTATAAATAAATAACATATATTTAACTTTTTTTTAATTTTTAAATTTTATTTTATGTGCATTGTTTTTCTCATGGGTGTCGACCCCCCTGGAACTGGAATTACAAACAGTTATGAGCTGCCATGTGGGTGCTGGGAATTGAACCTGGGTCCTCTGGAGGAGCAGTCAGCGCTCTTAACCACTGAGCCTTCTCTCCAGCCCCTATATTTAACTTTTTAGTTGAAAAAGTGGGCAGAAAGAAAAGAGGACTAACCTAGATTAAGAATTATGTCATCTTAGCCACTGCATGCATTTAATCCCAGCACTCAGGAGGCAGAGGCAGGCATATCTCTGAGAGAATTATAAGCCAGTCAGGGCTATAAGTAAGACCTTGTCTCAAAAAACAAAAGTTATGTTGCTTAATTAAACTCTTTGTGGTATTGCTGTGCTCTTTCAATACACTCAATTTTTCAGAGGGCAAATGGTCCAGGGAAGGTTAGTATGACCCAAAGCCCATGTTCTTTCTTGCAATCACACAGACTACTTTCTTACATCCACACTCAGACTGACAGTATACATACAATGAAATAAAATCCATCTTTAAAAAACCACCAAGATTAGTAACATAGATCTAAAATTCTTCATCTGAAACCTTCTGGGTCACATTTTAGAATCTGGGAGTTTTCTGGCTTTTAGAAAGCTAAGACAGTGTATGTATTATCACACTAGAGTCACAATTTCAACAGGAGCTACTTAGGCATTCCTAGTTCCTCAGGGGAACACATGGGTACTTCATATCAGGTGAGATAACTGTGTCAGCTCAGACAAGATTAAACTGCAAATAGGTTAAGAAATGTTTTCTGGTTTTACAGACTACAAGCAATCAGACAAGTGGTCACAGGACCCTAACTGCCAGTGACCAGAAATCCCGGGGAACACCCCATTATTGAAAGAAACTCTAGGCATCTATAAGAACACACTCCTGCCGGGCGGTGGTGGCGCACACCTCTAATCCCAGCACTCCGGAGGCAGAGCCAGGCAGATCTCTGTGAGTTCAAGGCAGCCTGGTCTACAGAGCAAGATACAGGACAGGCATCAAAACTACACAGAGAAACCCTGTCTTGAAAAAACAAAACAACAACAACAAAAAAAAACCCAAAAAAACAAAAACAAAAAAAAACACACCTATTCCCTAGCTATAACCTAGTCACATTTCTCATAAATGTGGTCCTTTCTCCCTTAAGACCGTAACAAAGATAGAGCCAGACCTACATTTAAAAATCTTTCTCACTTAAAGAAGTGCATGGTCCTAGAGCGTAACTTACTAGACAAAACCACTCAGCAGGCTCCTCATGTGTGCAACCTCATGTGCTGCAAGCTGTAAAACAATGTTGGCAGAGCTAGAAGAAAGCACAACAAACAAAGCGCACAACAGACTGCTCAGAGAGAAAGATAAAGCTCTGTTCTCCCTAGGGAAGGAGCTTCAGAGCAGGAAACACCAATTGCTTGGATGAAGGCCAACCCTGTAAACCATGCCCCATTTAAACTACTTTTCTTGACTTTAAGCTAGGTATCACATGCTTCCGGAAGATGAGCTATAAAAAGATGATGTTCCGAGCAGCAGGAAGAAAGAACAGTTCAATCTGGTCCATGTGGAAAAGTTGTAGAAGCAATGTAACAGGCTCTCAAATAGGATAGAAAGCTGAGCTGAGGTACCATCTGTCTACCAATTGTAAGGAGTATTGGCCCTTCAGAAGACTAAACAGGGAGGAAGCCTTTCGTTTAAAATATAAAGCTGTAAAATTATGGCAACTTTCAAGTTTGTTAAAAGAAGATAGCTGGAGAGATGGCTCAGTGGTTAAGAACACTGGCTGCTCTTCCAGAGGTCCTGAGTTCAAGTCCCAGAACCCATATGGTGGCTCAAAATTGTCTATAATGGTATCTAAAGCTCTTTTCTTGTGTGCAGACCTACATGCAACCAAACAAACATCCATATTCATAAAATACATGCATACATATATCTTTAAAAGAGAAAGATGTCCCTTCTGATTAACTTTCAAGTTCTACAAAAGTAGAATGCACTTTTATTAATGGTTTTTTTATATTAACATCTTGATTTTGGGATAAACAGTTATCCTAAAAGGATCTTGTGGTTTAAAAAATAACCACTGGCATCTGGGCACCATCTTAGCAGATAATCTATTATTTAAAACTGAGCTACGCTGGAGACCTGGAACAGGAAACAGCCACAGAGCAGGGAGACTGTTTAAGCTGCCACAGCCAGGTGGATAGATGGCTTGAGAGGGAGTTGTGGCCAGGAGCAGATCTCATTAACTGACAGTAACTCTAGAGTTCGACAGCTCTGAACTTGAGGTCTGTAGGTAGATCAGGCTCATAGGGAACCTCTCCGGTGTACACTGGAGTCTGAAAACTCTGAAGTTCCAATGATCAATACTCGAGGGTTAGAAAATGTGGAAACAGGTCCTTCATCCATGCAGATCTGAGTACTGTAGATGCTTCTCCCATGTTCTACTCTCTAGCTAGGGCCCAAGGGGAGTCTACAGGTGTGGGAGAAATCTGTCTAGGCCACCAACCAAAAATGGAAGTGTGGCCATGAGAAGCCTCTGGCACACAAAGAAGAGAAGCTATAAAAACAAAGACAGTTATGGCAGACATTAGAGACTCGCCCAATACAGGCTCATTTCAGCATAAAGCTGAAAGCTAAGAATGTACAGGTACAGCTGACCTCCCCCTCCCTCACCATTCATCTAACTGGCAGTCTGCCATTTGAAGCTGCTAACATGGCAGCTTTTTCTTTCATTCCTCCATTTCTTTATATTATGCTTGTGGTAGTATTTTCGCTTATTACACTTTAAGAAAAAGTTTTTATTTATTCTAAAAATACGTATGGATGTTTTATCTGTGTATATATCTGTGCGTCACTTGCATGCTGGTGCCAATGGAGGCCAGAGAAGACATAGAATCCCCTGGAACTAGAGTCACAGATGGTTGTGAGCTGCCATGTAGGAGCTAGGAATCAGACCCTGATCCTCAGGAAGAGCAGCCATTGCTTTTATCTTAACTGCTGAGCCATCATTGAAGCTTCAATTTTTATGTCTTTCATTCTTATTCTTCATAAGTTAATCTAGCATAGTATTTCCTTTCCTTACTTGGTTTTTCCTCTTATATTTCTCCTTACTTTTCTTCCTATGATATTGCAAATAGTATTTTGACTTTATTTTAATGGTTTTTGGAGACAGGGTGTCATAAAGCCTCAGTTGGTTCTAAGGTTGATACTTCTGCCTCTGCCTCCCCAGTACTAGAATTACAAGCATGCTCCATCATGCCCAGCTACTTTATTAGCTTTTAATTTTAAAAACAAATGAAAAAGAATCCATATTTTTTATTTATGTACTTATTCTCATTATTATTATATGTGTATAAGTGCAGGTTCATGCATGCATGGACGTAAAAGTCAGAGGACAACTTGTGGGTATCAGTTCTCTTCTCCCAGCTTGAGTTCTGGGGATCAAACTCAGATCTTAAAAAGCAAGCACTTTTACCTGCTCAAACATCTCACTGGCCCATGTTTTAATTTTTATTCCTATTTTTTAAAAATTTTTTTTAAAGATTTATTTATTTATTATGTATACAGCATGTATGACTGTAGGTCAGAAGAGGGCACCAGATCTCATTATAGATGGTTGTGAGTCACCATGTGGTTGCTGGGAATTGAACTCAGGACCTTTGGAAGAGCAGTCAGTGCTCTTAACCTCTGAGCCATCTCTCCAGCCCTTATTCCTATTTTTACATTTATCTAATTTAAAAAAATTTGGATTCATATATTTTATTTTCTATGTATGGTATTTGCCTGCAAGTATGTATGTACATCACATATTTGCCCGGTGCCCTCAGAAGATAGAAGAAAGAGTCAGATCCTCTGGAATTGGAGTTACAGAGGATTGTGAGCCTAGAAACTCATGTGAGTACTAGGAATTGAACCTGGGTCTTCAGCAAGAGCAACGCCTGCTTTAAACACAGAGCCATCTCTCCAGCCATTTATCTAAGTTAAAAAATAACCTCACAAATAGGATATCTTTTGTTGTTTTATGGTTATTTTAAATTTTTTTCTAAATCTCCTATTCTCTTTTCCCTTCCATAACTTCCCCACTTGTCTTTTTCTGTTTCACCTTTCCCTGCCTCCTACATCTCATCCATTCGCTGTTTCCCATTTGTCCGAGCAATTTTAACCTCACAGCAGTCTCTATTAGTTTTACCATTTTCTGTGCCACAGTCATTGCTAATGTAGGAGGAGTGAGCTTTAATCAGGTTCAAGTGGAGTCTCTGTCCTGTATGGTTTGACACTGCCATTAGAAGGTTTATTTTTTCCTTTCACAGTGGGAGTAAGGCCTCAAGATTAAGCTTCTCACTAAGAATACCTACAAATAAAACCAGAAGCAACACCCAAACCAACAGATTCACAAATCCCAAACTAGGAACAGAAGAAAAATGAAAGGTCAAAGTATTTTAACTCTCCAACTTCTGAATTCAAAGACACTGACAGATGAAAACTCCAAGTTTATTGGTGAAATGATCAGTGGTATCAAAAAATATGCAACCAGTAGATGAACTAAATCCGGGAGCTAAAGAGAAAAGTCAGCAAGGAACGCAGACAAAGTCAGCAATGGATGAAAAAAAATCAGCAATATGGATGACAAAACAACATGTAAGAAAAATTCAGCAGGAAAACTAGTGCTTTATTAAAAAAACAAAACAAAACAAACAAATAAACAAAAAAACAGTGGAAAACATCACCAGTGACCACCCATGCAGAAGAACACCAGGAGTGGAGGCCAAAGTCAAGAAAAGATCGCATTAAAGCATAAATAAAAATAAATAGCCAGGCTG